TCAGAAGGGAGTGGTTTGATGTGAAGGTTTTTTTTTTTTTTCCCCTTCAGGCATTGAAAAGGAAAAAGATGAAATATATGTTTATATATAACTCTGTTGCTGCATACCTCATTGAAGTCGAAATGCATTTAATTGTGTACGTATCTTTTAAATGAGAAGCGTACTGGATTTTTTTTTTTCTTTTTTAAAAAAGTGACAAATTCTAGTGACTTTTGGGGGAAGAGATATGAATAGATACAATGATTGAGTTTTTTTTTCAAAGGAATCCATGTTTGATTCTCCTCTTTGCCCAGCCTTTTCAGTGATTTGTAATTGTAATTTTTATCTTCACTCTTTTCCCTTTTTCCTTGCCTACTCTTCTCTTAATTGCTTGCATGTAAAATTCATCTGGCTTGAGAAATTAATTTGGTGGTAAAACAAAATTTTAGAATAAAGGAGAGAAAGTATGAAGGTTGTAAAATTATTTTCTCTTTTCTCCTGTTTCAGTATATTTCCCTTCCTCCATGATCTCCGATAGTGTTAAAGGAGAAGAAACTGAGGTATCCAGAAAGAAAAAAGTAACTGGGACTGAGAAAAAGAAAGAGGTAGGGATTACTTTCAGGCATTTTCATCTAACTTGCTGACCATAATTTCCAGCTGTACCTCAGCGTTTATCTGGTACCAGGAATCAGATGGCAGTTGAAAAAGAGTCTAAAAGCAGCTTTCTCATAAGGAGATTTGATCAGAGAGGTCCAGATATAAAACTTGCCGGTGAAGTGAAGGAAAGAAGGCACAGAGCGCACTTCTACCTTTCTTTGTTCTTCACTTTATTCTTAACTTTCCTTTTCTCTCATTCTTTTCACCTCCTATGGCCCTTTCCCTTGCCTTACATTGCAGGCCTATAAAATCTTCTGGGTCGTTTCTCTTCATCTTAAGTGTAATTGCCTGGACCCCAGTTTCTGCACTGGGCACCCCAGGAAAGAGGAGTAAGGTGAACAGCAACCAAAAAGTACTAGAGATAAGCAAGCAACGTACAAATTTTTGTTTATAAAATTTTTAATTGATGTTTTCCCTACACTAATGTGTATTATTGAATGTTGTTTTCCATTTTGTTTTTTAACTTGGCTTGTAGACTACCCCATATCATTCCTATACTGAGTAGAAATTCCTGTTCCACGTGATTTAGCTGTCTGAGCTAATCTGTCTGGATATCCCCCTATTTCTGTATATGGGCTTCCGTGCAGGTGTATCTATTTTTCACTGTCTTTCTCATCACTTTGACCCTCAGGTTCCATCACCTCTTTAAGTGACTGTCTTCTATTTACTTCTGTCTTCTGGCCTCATGTGGCTCTTCCTTGTATGTGCCTGACTCTTTTCCAGCCCACTTCATTACACTGTGGATTGTAGTGTGGGAAAAGTGCCTGCACATGTGTTTGGGCCACACAGCACATCATGTGCACCAGTTCCTCTGTCTCTTCCACTCTTCTGTGCCAAGCACCTCAGCCTGCCTGCCACATGTGCCACAATTTGTAGGTACGGATGGCTAAAAATGACCTTGCATATCCCTATGAAGGCTTCTTCTTCCCTTTCCTGAGTTTGCTTTACATACGGATTTGTTGATTTGCTATTTCTCTTTTTTTATTCACTCCACCACCACCTGTCAGCTTGCTTGCCTGCTTGCTTGCTCTCCTCTCCCCTCTCCTCCTCTCCCCTCCCCTCCCATCTCCTCTCCTCCCCTCCCTTCCTTTTCTCTTCTCTTCTCCCCTCCCCTCCCCCTTCCTCTCTTCACTGCTTTCCCTTCCCCTCTCTTTCCCTCTCCCCCTCCCCTCCCTTCCCTTCTCCTCCCCTCCCCTCCCTTCCCTTCCTCTCCTCTCCTTACTAGCCCCTTAATTTGTTATCTTCTATCCTTGTTACTGCCTGCTTTTCTACCTGCTTGCTCGTGTTATGGTGTCTGCCTGCCTCCCTGTCTGCTTCTCCCTGACTGGTTGGCAACCTCTTTCTCTCTCTGGTTGTCTGTCTGTTTCTCTGGCTGTTTGCCCACCACTCTCTCTAGCCATCTGTCTCCCCGCCTGCCTGTCTCTATCACTTTTTTAGTCTGCATCTCTTGTACCTTCCAGGCCCTGCCCTGGCTCCCCATCATGTTTGCCTCTTATCTTGCCTTTCTACTTGTCCCTCCTATTTATTGCTGTTAAGATCATCATTTTTCCTTGCCTTCCTTCAGGTCTGTTTTCTTGCCTATCTTCCCTACTTGCTTGCCTGCTGTTCTGTTTAATGCCTGTGTCTTTTTACTCTTGATATATATCAGCTTTTTCTCCCTTGGCTTCCTTTCTGCCAGCATCCATCAATGGAAAGGGCCTCTCTTTCCATTTCTGTCAATAATCCCCTTACTCCAAAATCTTAACTGTCTTCATGCCATGTCCCCTCTATGCCTTCTCTCACACTTGCCTCTATTTCACTTGTCTTTTTTTTTTTTTTTTTTCTAACTGTTTCCTCAGACAGTCTGCCTGCCTTAGTCTTTTTGCCATTCTCCCAGTCTCTTGATATTTTCCTGCCTTTTTGCTGTCTGCTTGGCAGGCTTTTACTGTCCACATCTCTGCTTGATTTTCTTTCTCTTCTAATGAATTTTTGAATAGACATATACATGATATAAAAATTTAAACGTACTAACCCTATACTATGTGAAATAAGTTTCTTGCCAATACTTCTCCCCCAGGGCATAAGTTTCTGTTCCTAGAAGTAGGCACTATGTCACAGTTCTTGGATGCTGCCCCAGAGAAAAAGCTACACATATGTAAGTCTACTCTTTGCTCTTAGCTTTGCTCCTTAGTATTTTTCTCCTAGCTTTGCTGGATATTCCTTCTCATGTTAGTTTCCTTACTGACTTTGTTGGGCTTGCTGTCTCTTGCCCCTTTTGTCTTATGGATCTTGTGGGTTTTTTTTTTTTTTGTTTTTTAATTTTTTGTTGTTGTTGTTTTTGTCTTGTCTTTTTGAGGCAGGGTCTCACTATGCCAATCAAGCTAACCTTGAATTCACTTTGTAGCCCAGGCTGCCCTCCAACTTGAAGTCATCCTCCTGCCACAGCCTCCCGAGTGCTGGGATTACAGGCATTTACCACCATGCTAGGCTGGCACTTGTATTTTTAATTGTGTTTACTGGTTGCATGCTTTTCCTGTCAGAACGAAAAGAGTGCTTAAGAAGTACTTGTTCTTTCCTACTCCACGTAGTAAGTTATGTGGAGGACAGCATGTCTTTGTTGGTCTCTTCACTAAAATATGAAAGAAAAGAGGTGAAAACCCTGAAAGTATAAAAAACTAACATAAAGATATAGGTATAATTAGTAAGAGTTCATAAATTCTGCTTATATATTTATAGAGTAGGCAAAGACCTTTCCCACTTAGCATATGAGTCTAGATCCTTTTAGGTTGCTGACTTTGGCCTGCCCAAGAAGTTTGTATTTCTCATCTAAAAAGCTCTGCTCATTATTAAAATAATTTCCTTTGTCATCCTTTTTTATGGATCCTTTCTATGTTATTTTAAGAGATATAGCTCTTTGTTTTTTGTTTTGTTTTATTATTTTGTATTTAGTAGAGGGTCTGCAGGGTCTCTCTACACACAGGACTCGTAGTGGTCCTTCTGTTTTCACCGGTCCTTCTGTCTTCAGCTGCCCAGCCACTGGGATTATAGGCACACACCACTATGCCCAGTCTCAGTTGCATGGCCATCTCAGCATGCCCCCTGGGGCAGGTCCAGCAAGGCAAGCTGGAGATCGAACCCTGGTCCCTGCATCTGCCTAAGCAGGAGGTGCTTTAGTCCGCTGAGCTATCTGGCTGGCCCAGAGACATAACTCTTTGATTAAGACAGAGAGTTGGCCTCTAACCAGGTCCCTGAGAAACATACTCTTTTTCATTTATGCTTTTTTACTGCCTCTATTCCTGAATTTAACTGTTTCAGCCTCTATTTCTTTTTTTTTTTTTTTTTT